ATCTTGTTGCTTTTGGACTTTGTTGTGGGACTCAGGTATTTGTAAGGCTGTAAATCAAATGCCATTTTATGTGTATTCATTAAATAATTGACGAGTTCATATTCTTCAGTTGCTTACTAACTTTTGAAACTTCCTATTTTGCAAATAATTTCACAGCAATGAAATCCCTACTACCGTGCTAGATGGTGTCGACACGAGTGGACGGATTTTTAAATTTATTTGAACGACGCGATGTTACTATACTTGTCCATTACAACGTACATGTAACAGAAGAAACACACAGTCCATGTCCACGCTAGTGGACATAAACGATTTGAACCATCAATTTGAACTAGATCAAGTATAGAACTTTACATAGGATCATATACGATGAATATGGATTACACAGTCTGTTTCAAAATACCGTCACCAATGTCGACACCATTTGACATCAAAATTTTGACAGTAAAAATATGTGTTATTGTTTTTGTCGTTTCATTGCTGTGAATAATTTAATCAATACTGAAACATTTAGAACTATCAACTCATAGGACGAGCCTAAAAGTGTCTTTTACATGTATTTATATGCAAACGTCAACCATCATGACTGAGAGATGCCATGTTGTAAAAACGCCATCTGGTAACGTGTGCGAATTGTGGTTGAAAACAACCGATATCAAAATTTAGTCAAGACAGAATCCAACAATTCTGTCTTTGTAATTACATACATTGATAACCACGTCAACAGATGACGCATTATTCTGCGACTTTTTTCTCGCCTATATTAATATACAGGGACTCATAGTGGTTGGCAAACGTCATTCTCTGAACTTTAGAAGAATCCCCCTACACTAATGTAAGAGGAACTAGAAGAAATGGTTTGTGCATTGGATAAATTTCCACTATTGTATATTAAATAAGACATGAACCACCACACATTTTCATTAGTTCGATGTTTATAGGATAGATACAGCGCCATTCAATGTCTGACAACTATACTTGTCCTATGTATCAACTATAAAAAGACTTATAAATCAACTTTCATTCGAATAGTAACTGTGATGTAGATTCAACGTTTGATAACTCATTTCATTGTATTTTAAAGTAAGATATTTCCATTTTTTGTGTTGCTTTTCAACTGCACAACACCCGATAGAATTTCATTGCGATTTGGATAAATAACGGTACGTGTCAGCGCATAGTTCACGTTTTCGTGTAAATATTAGCAAATTATCGGATACAACTGTATCACTGTAGTGTGTGTGTGTCAGCGATCAAATCAAAATGCATGAAAATAACACACAATAAATGTCGTCAAGCTAAAGGTAAATTTGAAATAAATTGTCTCAATAAATATCCAATTGTATACCTTGATAAAATATCATATTGTAGTTTTTGTTTGTTCAGATATTCAGTTATGTTTACATGAAGAAGATTGTGTTTTGAAGTGTTTTTTCTCTGTCCTTATGTGATAGCAAGTAGATGGAATGTCATCGGAAGTGAAAGAGATAGAACGAAAAAATTATGAGAGATATTCAATTGTTTCACATGTCTATGTACACATTTGCCACTTCGTTCGAAGAAAACTTATGAAATATGTCAAAATAACTATCAAACACGTACCTATATAAAAAATATTTAAGCAAAAAATGTACAATATGTTTTTTCAGTTATTTTCTTCTCATATATTGTGTTAAGTGCATCGAACAATGAAGATTTTCGACACACCGTCGAAGAGTGCCAGAAAGCCATAAAAGACGTATATTTAAATAAATGGAGATTTTTCAGTCATTTGTAAATGTTTCGCAGTCTTAGCCGAAGTAAAGTTCTTCTAGCGCCTACAGCTACTGTGAAGTGTGATGTAACGACAATGATGCATTTTGAGTTGTTACAGGGCGACAACGGTTAAACGTAGACTACATTTATTATTACATTTTTCAGCATTTGAATGATTGCTCACGCGCTGGTGCTCTTGTCACAAGTGACACACTCAGAATGAACGTCGTATAACGAAAAGATTCTGTTTTGTCTTATTAAAATCATTTTATGCAAGTAATGAAAGTTATGGCGCAGCCATTCATCTTCTTTTTTTGTCTTTACTATAAAAGTTTGAACAAACAGAGCAAAACAAATAGTGTGAAAAAGATTTGGAGAGATAAACACTTTTTCCTTTGATGTTAAAGTCCAAATGAAATAAAATTCAGGATCGAAACATAAAACAAAGTATAAAGTCGGCGCCAAAGCCAATATTTTTACTAATATTTTGGATTTGTCGTTTCTTTTTGGTTTTTTGGTTGTAGTCTTCAGTGCAGTGCTTGACCTCGTTCCTACATTTGTTTATATCAGCTTTTGTCAGATATTGTGGTTTCATTTTCTCTCTATCCCTGTCTGTCCCATTCTATATATGTGCCGATTGTATTCGGTGTTAAAGTTTCTTATTTCATCGCAGCTAAGACTGAATATTTCGTTTTTTTTTTTTCGATTTGGAATTTATGATTTTCTCAGATTTATTAAGCTTTCGAACTTTATATCCATTCGATGTGTTTTTTGTTTTGTACGAATAAATGTGATGGTGCATTTTGCGCTTGGCGTGTCGCGTACATAATGGTTATACCATTTGTAAACCTTTTGCGATGAAAACGATGAAAAGACTGTGAAATGAAGACAAGAAAGACAAGCCAACGAACAGACAGTAAATTTGATATAAGCGTTCCAACATGCATATGAATATCTTCGAACAAACATGGAACAATTCGTTTTTAAGGCCCATAAAAAAGCATGCGATGCAGATAAAAGCAGTAGCAGTGGCAATGCATGCGTCTACATCACAGTGACACATCATATTATGAGCATGACACGGTGATGATCAAATCAGGGCGATGGTTGAAACACTGAACTGTAGTGCCAGAAGGAAATGCAATCACAAACAAAAACGATTGTTTACATTCGTTTGCTTGAACGCAGACAATGCAACTGACAAACAGATTTCAGCAACAGTTTCTTTTCTACTTGCTTCAATTCTTTTGCATTTTATCGTTCTGGTTGACTATCATTTGAATGGAATGCAAAGTTTTGCATTGCAAACACGAATGATTCAGTGACATTCCATATTTCGATTTTGTTTAATTTTTCATGTGCAAACGGCAACATGCCCGAGTGGAAAAAAAGTGACTAAGTTACTATTGACTGTAAGTGACTATAGTTAGCTATATTCATGAATTTTAAAATTTTGTATGGAAAACAATCGACTATAGTTACTCAGTCAGTCAGGCGGTTATTTTGGGACGTTTTGACTATCGGGTGACTATGATTATTGTCAACTATAGTTAGCTGTTGCAGTTAACCATAGCTTACTTTAATTGATTGAAGTTAACTAAATTTAACTAAGGTTGCTTGTTTTTACAGTCAATAGTCAGTCAGTTTGTCCCAAAATAGTCAGCCACTTTTTTTGTACACGGGTGCTTTTAAATGACAATTTTTATGGAATCTTTTGCACTAACTGTTCACTGTGTTGATTCGTTGTACATTCGCGCGATACGATTAGCTTTAGACTTGGATGCTTCCTTTCATTCTATTATTTTCTCTTTCTCAATTTTCTTCTTTGTTCAGTTTCATCTCAAAAGGAATTTTTTTTTTCGCAAATAACTCACATTTTATCGTAAAATTCGATTGAAGAAAGAGACATAAAGAGAAAAAAAACTATGAAAGTATCTGTCTAGAAAAAGTACTGATACAAAGTATCGTCTGAACTTTTTTCATCTTTTTGATGGTGTGTGGCTAGCGTTTCAAGATTATACATATACAACATATTCAGATAAGAACCTACATGCCATCGCATAAGAAAAAGCAAAACAATTGAAGAAAGATCAAGAACGGATGTCAAGAGCACATGAATCGTTTACATCGATTCGGTCGTGTTGAAAGTACAGCAAATAGAGAATATTCTCATTTTAACAATTCCAAATGGCGCTTTGGCACTCGATATTGTGTGATATGCACGATCACAAATGCTATACACAGGATGTAGTCACATATCAATGAATTCATTATAAAAAACACATCAAAATTCTTCAAATCACCTCAAAAGTAAAATGCACGAATTCATACATCGATTCATTCGAGTGCGTTCAATTGGGTACGCAGTGTGAATTTAATGGATATCAAAACATGATTATCTTTTGTATTACGAACGAAAATACATGTCAATTTTGCGAATTTTAACCCCATAACATTCAGAGGAAACTTGAACGTCTATGTTTTGATAACATTTGATGAAAAAGTGCGTTGGCTTTGTCCGTTCAAATATCAAATGTCATTTCTTTCATATGCAAATTTTTGTGATCGATTCACCAATCGAATGGTGGAATTCAAATGGAACAGTTTTGCAATAGTATATCAAAAATATCAAAATACTATTGAAGTATATGGATGCTATGCTATTAGTTTAACACTAAATCAGTTGGGATTTTTTTACATTTTGCACAATATTGTAAAAACGAATGCCGTGTATGAGCCACACAATATAATATACGCCGACGTATCACATGCACACGCCACACACGATTTCGTAGTGAACGTATATATTTGGTGTTCATCGTTTGGCACGCGCTCCATCATTTTTTTTTTCCAAATCATCAACAGAAACAGCAACAACAACAGCCAGGAATAGTAACGGCAACAGCCAACAACAAACATACAAAGCATATGCTCCAAAGAGAGTATCGCAAGAATTGTTAGTTGGTATTGAGTGATACTGTTCTAATGGTTTGGCTGTTCAATATACATTTTTCCATGTATCTAAAGGAACACTGATTCATTCGATGGTGATGGTGCTGTTAGTCTGTCGTTGTTGCTGGTGCTGCTGCGGCGTATGCATATGCGCGTCAATGTATGTGTGAATGGGATTGAGAGACTAAGACGATACACTCTCACTTTCTGTATTGTGTACATTGTGAACCGTCGCTACTGGCAGTCGGAGTCCGTGTTCAGTTGTTTATTGTTCGTTGCTCGTTGCTCGAACCAACAGTACCAATCTTTAAGCTGCCGTACAATCTCCGATTCAGTGATCATCGAAACTTCAACGGAACCGCGCGTACTATTTTGCCAAGTTCAATTCTATCCAATCTCGAAAATACGGCATTTATCGCAACTTAAGCGCATTTACTGTCCGACAACAACGACAAGTGCAACGTGATAAAAAGAATAAGAAATCGCAGGCACACATGTTCTCAAAGAACTTGTGCTCGTTTTTTTGCAAAAAAAAAATTTACTTCGTGTTGAAGAAAAGAGAATCAATACTTTTGTCAATACTTGAACAGCCGAATAAAATTATTTCCATTTGGAATTGAGCCATCAATAACGTTGTTGTTGTCGCGTTCGCTTGTCGATTTTATTGTTTTTTTTTATATCTTCTTTTTGACTATCCAACAAGCGAATCATATTTTTTTTATCCAAAATATCGAGAATATTGACGTTGACGAATAGAATTAACTTATTTCACACGCCGATTGACAGAAGAAGAATAAACAGTAACAAACTAAACTATAAATGATGTGATCAATCTATGCTTGTGTCTGCGCGAATGTGTCTCATGTTTTTAAATATATAGTATATTTCGGTCTTTCTATAAATTAATTCAAAAAATAAACAGAGTCGTGCAAAGTGATAGCCAACTTCAATCAAGAGATAACGGTCAGTGATTTTGAATTTTCTTTTGCGCTCATTTGTTCACTGTCTTCATCAAACTCGACTCACCAAAGCGAGTGAGAAGAGATAAAAGACACAGAAATCTATTTTATGGCAAAAAATAAAATGTTTGGTAAATGTTACAGCATCGGATAGTATCTCTTTCGAAACATTAAACTATTCATTACACATATAAATAATTTTATGACAACGAAAGGACATGAACATATGTGAAAAAGATTGCACACATTATTACATTACACTTATACACTTTCACACGAAGCGTTGAAAATTCAAACGTTTTTCAAACACCAAAGTCAAAACAGAGATATACAGAGAGAAAGAGAGAGTGGGAGAGAGTGCGAGCAAATAAAAATCAACAACGATGAAACACTTTTAACCATTAAAATAGACATAACATTCGACCAAAACATTGTGATTGAAAATCAAGAGAAAACAAGATATAGAATCAGTGAAACGAACAGAGAGAGTGAGAGTAATGTGCACACCATATGCCACATTGAACACGAAAAATATTTCGCATTTTTTATGGTTAATAATTTGTTCGGTCGTTTTTTGGAACATTGGTCCTATCAAGCTTACATTTGAGATTTTGAAAATCGAAACCAAGTTTAGTGGGCAAACGGGAGTTGAAGAGAGAGAATTTAAGTGAGCATAACATGGTGCATTTATTTGACGACCAAAACAAAAAAAAACTATAAAAACATATTTGGATAGAGTTAGACTCAAGAATACAAGAATAGCATGCAACAAGAGAACTTAATGTTCGTCACAATTTTTGTTTGCTCTCAAACGATGCACAATAAATAGAAATTGAGACCGAAGAAGACCACAAATATAGAGATACGGTGAATCCCGAAAAGAGTAAAAAAGAAACACTGCAGTGAGATAGAGAGAGAGTCAACGGAGACAAAATAAAGTACCCACATAATAAACTTTGAGTGCAAAATTCAATTATGCGTGTTGCGTGTTAATTTGGTGTAAGTGAATGTCATTGATGGCATTGTGGTTGTATATTTTATGTATAGAAAAGACAAAAAGAAAAAAACAAAATTGAAATCATAAAATTGCGCTATGATAGTTCAGTGACCAAAACTAATTGAATCAAAGCATGAAACAATAGCAGAGAAAAGTTGAGAAGCATCACGTACATTATTTGTAGATAAATACGTTCTAACGATCCTCTTACCAAAGCCGTGTAAATTACAATATAGATGGAGAAAGACAAAACGAGAGAGAGAGAGCGAGAGATTAAATATAAAATTGTACCACATTTACAAAAGTGTCTAAGCGGCGTGTAATGGACTTTTTAGTTTCGGCGAAAATCGAATAAATTCTGATTAGACTGTTTTTGATACGAGCAACAAGCGAGATAGAAGTAAGTCGAAGAGTTTGTAAAATTCAAGCAAAGCATAATCAACAATTACGACTGTTATATACTGCATAGTATATATAAGTAAATCAAGTTGGTAAACGTTACTCGTAAAAGCGCTAAATATTTGCAACATTTTTCTTAAGGGGCTTAATTCAAAATTTCCAACGACTGAATTCTATAATAATATCTAAATTAACTGAATTTTTCAGCAAACGAATGAATTCCAGTGAATTCTACGGCGATTTCATTCAAATATGTGAGATAGTGGTGAATAGTTTCTGCTGGCAATTACTGCAATATTTATATTTTGTGTAACGAAAATGTAAATGTTTTTAAAAATTTTTTTTAATAAAATTAATTTTATTTTCAATTTTGAGCGATTTTCTATCGAAAACAATCGGAATTATTGAAAAAAAAATAATAAATTAAAAAATACTGCGGTTATCATAACCTCACTTTATTACTTTAAGACATTTCATTCTATTCACACGAATTCACCGAACTCATCAATAACCACTCGATACAAAAGTGTGAATTTACGTGAATTCCTGTGAATTTTTTTGTCGTATTAAGCCCCTAGATTTTTCTATATAAACAATTACATTTTAACCAAATACGAAAGAACAGCAGCTAAATACTAAATGAATTTATCACATTTTTCAACTGTGTACAGATGACTTCAAACAGCCTAATTTAAATGTTATTGATGCTTGTACACAAAGTGAATACGAAACGATTAACAGCGCCTGTGTAACTTAAACAAGTTCAATTTATCCATTCAACGAAACGGCTTGAAGCAAACGACAGCAACACAACCATCCAGTTCATCTTTTTCCAATCACCATTCACCGTCAACACATTCAGCCAAACAACAAACAGAAGCAAGCATCACCAAGATTCATTCAACAAAATCCAAAAAGTAAGTGTGGCTTTTCGGCTAATTATAATTAATTAGCAGGCCTTAACCAAACAATTAGCGATATTTTTTAATAACAGTCATCGATTCATTTGCTTTCACGCTATAAATTAAATATTGAAAACACACACACACACGAATAGTGGATCGACGGTACCACGTTACCGCCAACAAAATTAATTTACCTTTACATTTCATTAAAAACGGATTTCTCTCATTAGAATTATTTTAAATCAATCAATAATTCAATGCGTTTTGCAAAAGGATAGATGTAGTTTAACATGACTGGCAATTTTCGCCCTGTGGTGGTATTTTAGCCAAATAATTCCGAACGGAATTATGTGTTAGAATACCGGCACTGTAATCATATCAAAATCGAATTATAATCTCAATCGAATTCCTTCCTTTAGCTTGTTCCCGACCCATTTTATGCATAATTAACCAAATTATTTTTTCTTCGATTCCCTTTTTTCCCATCTTTAATTTTTGCTGGCGGATGAAAAATTACATTTTACACTTTTTTCTCGAAATTGATTCGTTAGCATAATTAATTTTATTTTTTGCCCCTTTCTTCATCATTTCGTTCCAGAATGTATGGAGATTCTGTTTCATGCATTCATTATTAACTATGGGATCGCAGATCTACACTGACAAAAATAGAATTCCTACACTCACGAAAATTAAACTGGAAGAATGTCAAGGTTCATTTCAAAAAAAAAAAAAAATTAGATTACATTTTCTGCAGTAAAAAAAAATTAAATACAAAAATATCCCATAACCTTTTACAAACGCATTTTTTTCGTTATATGAATAGGCTACAAAATTATTGATTGCTTATGTATCCAAGAAATTATATTTAAAAAAAGTTTAAACTCCTGCCGCTCTAAATCAAGATAAAAAAGAATTTACTTCTTTTAAGTAAACGGAAACATATATTCACGTTGCTTTTGCAGAAGAAAAGTTTCATTTCAATCATTCTCAGCTGGATTTTCGCCTATATAAATATTACTGTGTGCATTTGGCAAATAAGGTCGTTTTTATTATTCTCTAACATATATTCTTATCTTAAAATCTCCTTTCAACGGGTTTTTTTAATGCTTGAACGACAAAAAAATATGAAAATGTTGGATCCTTTTGCGGATACTTAATATTTAAAATTGACTTGGTGCAAAGTTGTGACTCACTTGTGAGTTGTGCTTATGTCATGGAAAAATAGAGAAAAGAGAATATATAGGTAAACATAGACATGGATAGGCAAATGGAAGATTTCACATTCGGTGCGGCCCCAACAGAGAAGACAAATGAATTGAAAATTTGACAATGTACCAAAGAGTGTTTGCGATTAAAATAACCATACAGTCCCAATTGAATTGATGGTAACAAAATAGCATGTAAATGATATTTTAACTATGTTTCGGTAAATTTTGTATGAGTGTACAATTGAACATGCTTTGAACAATATTTAAATTTTACGCAATTAAAATCATTGACATTTGAACCGATAGATTCGATTTCGTTTTGTGTGTGCCTTTTGATGTATGTGCGCTTCAAATTTGTTGATAAATTTTTACGACCTTGATGATGAACCATCAACTGAAAGTGATCAATGCCCACAAAACAATATTAGTCGGATCATATTACCAAATGGCGTTTTAGCGTGAAAATAAAGTGTCTCAGTCAGCCAACAAATGATCCAATTCATAAAAATCGTGTCTAAGAAGCCACTTCATGATTCCTACGTTGTGTGTGTGAACGAATGATACTTTTTTTCGTCAATTCAAAAATTGTTCACTTGAAAATTTATCGTAAGCTAAGCCGACAATCGGATCTCATGCGATGATATGAAGCATTCGATGACATTTTTTTTATCATTTTCGGCATGTGTATGCGAACGGCATATTAGAATCAAATGAATAAACATACAAATACAAAAGAGCAAAACCAGATGAAGAATGAGAAAATTGAACCAAAGCGCACACACACACATAAAACGAAATTGAATGCACACCTACGCGTTAAAAAATATGCGATGCGTCTACAATGCAGCCAACAAAATTTACGATAAGAAATGTTATCGCTTGCTATTGTCGCCTATAAATAAATTTCAAAAGCGTGAACTACGAAAAAAAAAACAGGCCGCAGACCCCATCTCCCAATTCCAAGTATTGCCATTTAACTAAGCAGTACTTAGTACAAGCTCGAGAAATGTGCTCGTAATCGTTATATGGAAGGTGTCAACGAACGAAAAAAAATCAACCGAAAAGCTCATACATTAAATGATGTCTGTGCCAGCCAACGATCTGAATGTTAACATCTAGGGGCTAAATACGGCAAAAAATTCACAGGAATTCATGTAAATTCACACTTTTGAATCGAGTGGTTATTGATGGTGAATTCGTGTGAATAGAATGAAATGTGTCAAAGTAATAAAGTGAGGTTATGATAACCGCAATATTTTTTAATTTATTATTTTTTCAATATTTCCGATTCTTTTCGATAGAAAATCGCTCAAAATTGAAAATAAAATTAATTTTTATTAAAAAAATATAAAAAACATTTACAATTTTGTTACAAAAAATATAAATATTGCAGTAATTGCCAGCAGGAACTACAGTGAATCTAATTTTTTTGATAGACAAAATAGCAAGCAAAGTAAGCAGAGAAACTCTCCACTAACATAGGATTCATATACGAATGGCGTGTGAGTGGAGTGTGTCATGCAAAATTTTGTCTACCAAAAATATTAGATTCACTGTATTCACCACTATCTCACATATTTGAATGAAATCGCCGTAGAATTCATCGGAATTCATTCGTTTGCAGAAAAATTCAGTTAATTTAGATATTATTAAAGAATTCAATCATTGAAAATTTTGAATGAAGCCCCTAGGTTAACATTATGTGTACATACATTTGATGTTAATATCTAATCCATATAGTACGTAATGTGTACACATTTGATAATATTCATGCGACAAAGTATGAAAATTGTAACCAAATTGGCTCTGCGGCAAAATCAGTTTTGTTTTGTCACAAGCGAACGAAATTCAAGCGAAAAAGACAAAACCATAAAAACCTCAGGATTAACAGCCGCATTTCTCAGTTTTGGCATGCTCCCAATTTCTTCATCAACATCACGTATTTTGTCTATTTCAAGAATGCCAAAAAATATTTTCCAGCATTTTTCTTCTTTTTGCTCTTTGCCACTTTCACACTCGCTTGAAACTGTACGGACTTTACGTGCTACTATCGATACTATGACGGGGTGCGGTAACAGATTCCGAGATTTTTGAAATTTTCATGTCAATTTCACATTTATGCGAAGTATCAAATAACTTTGTATTTTATCACCTAATTAACATGTTTATAGTTGTTGAATGTTTGACCTCTTGGCTTTTCTGGCCAATTTGGTTGTTGTTGCTATTCTTATTTTATATTAATGTATCTTTTTTTCTTTTCATTCTTTTTGATTTGTTATTGTGACGCTTTGAGACCGACGTGCTTCTAGCAACATTTTGTGTTCCCATCTTTGGAAAGACGAAATAAAAGACAATTATTTTGGTGGTTTGATGTGTACCATGTGCAAAATCGATTGCAAAAAATTGCGTAAATTTGAATAAAGACGCAAAATGAGTACATTAACATAATTTAAAAAGTTTATCATTTCGTGTAAAGACTTTGACAATAATATGAACATTGAAACCATATGCATGTATTGCATCATTGCTACCACCGGTACAATACACACAGCGGCAATATCATGTTAAAAAAATAAATAAATAAAAATTATGTGAAAAATCTTTATTATACTATATTTTATTTAAAAGTGCTCAGTTTGAGTTCGCGTCGAAAAGTCGCCCGATTTTATTTTATCTCATTTATTTTCACATCGTCTCTCTTCAATGCAGAATCGGACAATTTTCTTCTCTCTGTGTACGGTTTGTGTTGAGACTTTGATTGCTTTCAAATGTTCAATCAACTAAGTAAATATGTAAAAAGTGATTTTTTAGTTCGAATAAATTCGACCGAAATCATCTCATTTCAAATGATTAAAAAAAATCGAGAAAAATTCGACATTAACATTTCAATTCGACAATGAAAAGAAATGATTTAAAAGATAGCGAGATACATGAAAAGAGAGAAAAAATTCAAATTTCAAAGCGAACATAACCAATATTCATAATGTGCGACTTGCATAAATTATGCATGAAGTGCCAAGAGAAAAGTTGCTCTGTTCGCTCTTTCTGCTAGATTATTTGCTGATGTAAACGTACGAGATATTCATTAATTTTTATAAATAGTTTACATAGCGCTGTCTCAACTACTACCGCATCGTTACTATCGTGTATCGACGAAGTGAATTGGCAAATTTTGAGCTCCAACAAGCGGTTTGCGTTTTCAATATAAAGCCAATTTTGCGCCGTAATATGTAATACGACAGCAAAAATTGCAAAAAAAAATCAAAATGTTATTGTATACATTTACTTCTTGATCTCTTGTTATGATGATTTCGAATTGAAATTACTGTCTGAAGACGAGGCATTCCATGATATCAGTATATCTTGTTTGCTTTCTCTTCATATTCAACGAATATGCAAACAAGCGTTGCGGCAGCCAAACTACGTACAACTATTTTTGTGTCTGAATAAATATTGAAGCGAATGCGAAAAAGAGCAAAATAAATTTCGCACAGAAATTTTGATTCAGATATGAAAATGCACATGTTCAGCTACAATTCAAATATTTACAACGAAATAAACGGCAACATTTTTGCGCTTGTCAAAACATCATGCATTTTCAATCATTTCATTTTGGAATGAGAAAATTTCTACTAATTTAAAAATTAAATCAAATCCGCTCGGTTACGACATGGTAACGCTCCACTTAAGTACACTGGGATTTTTGTAGATTAGTACATAATATGATTCAATTAAAATCAAAGTTTTTCTTTTCATGTTTATATAATTTGAATTTGTTGATTGTTAATATGAATATTAACTGAG